CGAGATTGTTCTTTGTGAGGGACTGTTGAACAAGGGAAAAGATTCAGTTCTGTATTATCATCACCTTTGCATAAATTCTAATTAGCATATATTATATATATCAGCATTCTGTCATTTGATGTGTGCATTTTGACAAAGGTGATAATGCTGTTTTTTTCACATAAAAGAATAATAGTTTGGTGATTTCTAACCGTCGAAATTAGCATTTTCGGAAAAAAATAAATAATATATATTTCTTAAGTGAAAAGTCGATTGTAATTATGTTCCAAAAACAAATCAGAAAAATCGGAAATTGGAATGAAAAAATACTTCTTCCAAATTGAAAACAGTAGGATTGGAATCGACGTAATTCAGAATTTTCACTTTTTAGTCGCCCGTAATATAAGTGTATAATATTGATATTATAAGTGTAACTTTTTGAAAAAGAAAAGTCGGGATTTTAGAAATCGAAAATGAGTATCTAATATATGTATTCCAATTCCGTTTCAAAAAAAAAATCAAAATAGAACTTTGGAAATCTAGAATTGTTCAAAAAAAAAAAGGATTGAATCGAAGAAATCATTTCCAATCAAATTTCCACCGTTAAAGATTAGAGTACATCCAATATGTATCTTAACTCGTATCATCTTAAGTTCTATCGATTTGAATAGTTCTCGTTTTTTTTAAAGATAGTTACTGGTTCTCCAATTTAACCACTAAATATGGTTCTCCAATTTAAGAACTAAATAAATCCTATTTAGGTAATGTTTAGGTACTATTGATCATCAAAATCTGATTCCTATAATTGTGTGGTCAAAGCCAATACAAAAAAAAAGTCAAGGGACTAATGATTGCAAAATCCCTATAGGTAGTACAAAAATATCCCTTTTACCTTTTGGGGTTGAGATGTCATTTCATCAACAACCGGCAACTAAATTGCAATTATCTAATGAGCCCATTATATGGTCTTCTTTTATTTTTCTACCATCAAAAGAATTTTTTTTGACACAAAAGGAGTGAAAGATCCCATTCTTTTTACAACTTGATGATGCCTTGTTGGAAAGAAGAGTGATACCATTTGCTCCCCACTATATTGTTAGTGGGGTCAAGTAATTAAATTTAAAACAATGTTAAAATTGAAAGATTTAAAAAAAAAAATTATAATTGTTGTATGTTAAATATCTTCTCAATTTTACTAATATCGGTTTGTCTTCGAACTGGATTTCGACGCTTTTATAGCTTGATTTTGGCAAAATTCAAGATACGAAAATTGTTGCCCTTTAATTTAGCATTCTGATACAACTTGAATCAGCTAAATTGGAAGTCGGGCGAAAAATTTATGCGAATGGGTTACATTTTGAAATTCAGATAACTCAAAAGATTATTTTTTTAGGCAACGTTCATTTATTCATGAATATCTTTCTCATCCGACATCCAATCTTGATGATTCAAACTGTATTAGAAAGGTAACTCAAATAACTATTAATTACGTGCTTTGCATTTTGCCTAATTCAGACTCAAAATCTTGTATGAAATTGAAACGTTATTATTAAAACTAAAATCGATTTTTGTACATTTTATTTTATGGGCTTGATGAAATGAAGATAGATCCATAATTCAAAGCCCAATATATATTAATTATTATTTTCAGGCCCATAAGTTATGGTTGAGCCCATTTATGCAAATAATGCTGTTCGGCGATACGAATCTCTTCCACATCCACGTGGCATACTCTTATTGGCATTCTCTAATTAATTATCACAGGTCGGTTATTATATCATATCAGCCATCCCTTCACCGCTGCCACCATAAACGCCATTATCAAAATCCGCGAAATGGAAGAAAATTACAAAAAGTCAGCCATGGCGGAAATCCATACAGGAGATATTGTAGATATTCAATAGATACAGATATATGAGCTGTATAATCGCATATCTATACTCGTCGATTTCTCATAAATTAAGGATACAGAGAGTGGAATCATTGTGAATCGGATTATCGGATCAATTCAATTTTGACTTGATCTGATTCTAATTTTGTTTTTCAATTTTGGGGATTAATTTATATTCGTTGTGTTGAAAGAATTTGGTCGATTCTGCATGAGAGAATTGGGGGCGGAGTAGAGAGAGAGAGAGAGAGAGAGAAATTTTTTTCCTTGTGGTAGCGAAACATGTCTGCCGTAGTGTGCGGAAAGAGATCGAACATCTTTGAGGAATCGCCGTCGTCGCCGCCAGTGTCCAAGAGAATCCGCCGTTCTTCTACATCGTCATCGTCTCCGGGCAGAAATTACTCTCCGCCGAGAGCCGCCGCCGCTTCCAACTACTCGTTCTCCAATTCGCCGCTCGACCATCTCGTTGCTCTCTTTCCTGACATGGACAGACAGGTTATTTTGTGATTTTTCCCTCTTTTTTTCCATTTTTTGCTTAATTTGTTAACTGATTCTATTTGGATTTAATTTGTAATTCATGCTTTATGTGATTTATAGATGTGATTTTCGAGAAATGAGAAGTGAACTGGCTATTGTATTGAATGAACTCTATCAAAATTTACTAATCTTATTTTTTGGGGATGTTAGGCATCTCTGGATGTAAATTGATTCATAGTAGCTGCAGATTTTGAAGTAGAATTAAACTTTTATCTAACAAGTAACAATCATTAGAATGAACTTGGACAATATATAATTGCTAATTCGTTGACTATTGCTGTCGTGGCTATGGTTTAAGATGTACCAACCGAGCTTTAATCATGTAGACTAGTTCGATGTTCGAATGGTACGTTAGATGGACAAAGTAGGTTCTATTCTGTAGGTCATAGTCTAATTTTGCTCATGAAGGTTTTGATGTGTTTCGCGATTAACCACTGGATTTTAAATAATTTCTGGCCATAAACAAAAATTACTTTATTATTTAATCTTCCTTTCTTATACATAATAAAAGGTCTCCTCTCATTCTACAACTCAAAATACAAACGAACGTTACTTTTTTCAAATAGTTTTCATAAAATACCTCAATGTTCCTTAAGTGGTGAAATTGATTCCCAAAAGCTTTCCTAACATAGTGTAAGATATTGAGGAAAATGGTAAATAAAAAAAAAATCGTCTTAGTATGTGAGGGTTCTATTCGTCTTCGTACTTTAACGGGATAAGGTAAGTGATAAAAGAATGATATTCTTTGTTATGCTTTTATGGCATTATGCCATTAATTCAGTGCGATTACGTTGGAAGATTTTGAGGCACCGGTTCATTTTATACACAATTAACCATGATCACTAACATACAAATTCATATTTTTCCAAGACTTGCATATGGGACATAAAAAGCCATAATTTAAGGTTGCCAAAATTATCAAAAAGAATGACATTTCTTGTTTCTTAAGATACATTTTGTAATCACTTGGAGAGAGTACGACTTGACTTGGTGCTACGTGCATTAACAGCCCAGCCTCAGAATCTTGGAATATTTGGCGCAAATATTAATAACTTTATCAACAATTGGCCAACATCAGATAAGATTATTTTCTTCTCGTGTTTTTTCCATCGGAAGATCAACAATATGAGTTCACCCAATAATAAAGCCTGAGCTAATGAGGAGAATTGGTTGGTTTCACGAACCTTGGCTGTGGAGGTGAAGAATTTGCTAGGAGGCGTTCTCCTTTTGTTTTCGAGTTTAATGTGAAGTTTACAATTTCCCCTCATTTTTGACATATAAATGGACAAAAAATGGTTCCAGGTAGGAGCTTGGCAAAATGTTGTTACGCTAAAAAACAGTTTTAGTTAGTTCTCTAGGATTGTTCGTATGTCTTCTATTACCTAACTAATTAGCTTAGTCTATCATATAAGCCATGAATATAGTTACATCTATACTCTAGGCAAGAAAAAATGTTCTCGTGATATTTAATGTGTGATTGTATTAACTTTCTCATTTACAGTTATTACTTGGTTCTTGGTGTAGATAACGGCTGATACTTAAGTTAATGTTGGTGCTAGAATTTCTTACATCTATTTTTTAAATCTTAGATACTTGATATGTCAACCTATACTTATTACCATGTACTTGCATCTTATTGTTTTTTTTTTGGCTACTGTTCTTAAATCCAAAATGGAGTTTATATATTAAAGAGGTTCAAAGTGAAGCCTAAAGGAACCGTCAGATTGTCTTTGTTATATATATCAACAGTTTATTTACTATAAAATGAGAAAGATGCGTGGAAATATGTAAACATTGCTGATTGGAATTTTTTCTAGTTGTGGTTAATTGAGTATAGATAAATATACTAATAAAAGATTACATAATTGTTCGGTGATCAAAGATTAACTGTACTAAAACCTATGTAGAGTGGGTAATAAAAGGAATCTTTTAGTTCTAAATATAACACTGTTCTATGGGCATTTGTATTGGAATGCATTGTTGGAATAAGGTGTTCATATCTTGACTTGAGGCTTGGTCACTTGGAGACCTGTCCCTCCAAAAAAAAAATTAATCCACTAAAGTCAAGGTAGGTCAAAGAAAGGACTTATATGTTATCAGATTTTTTCTTTTCTTTCCTAAATCGACTAAATTTTGAAAATTTTGACCTACTTAACAATCTTAGGAGCCTTTCATGGTATTAATCAGTTCTGTCCTGTTGTGCTTGATGAGTAAGAAGTTATGAAAGGGCTACGAAGCACTTACCTTGTATAATCCAAGGACCATTATTATTTCTTGAAAATGATAACTTGCTACCGAAATTTCCGACGCCTATTTAATTCTCATCTCCGATGTGTGATTGCTACATTTCGCAAGATTTTATATTTTTTTCTGAATCGTAACGCCTGCTCTCTGATAAACACAAGACCATGGTAATAAATTAGCTCCACACTTTAGATCTTTGTGAATGGATGTATGGTAGTACATTTAGCATATGCTTTGATTGAAAATTCTGTACTGCAAAAATCTGAAATACATTATTTGTATTTCTTTTGCCTGAGGCGTTATATTAATTAATTGAGTTTTAATGGTTTTGCCTTGTAGTTTCTGGAGAAAGCCCTTGAAGAATCTGGCGACGATCTGGATCTTGCAATAAAAAGATTAAATGAACTTCGGTTGAGTGCTGCAGCAAGTACATCTGATCTTACACAGGAAATTGACCCTCAATTTTCGGCTAAAGGTGCTTTTTTCTCTCTTTGCTTCGTCGATAAACGCTTAATTTTCAATGCTTTGTTCAGTGATCTTTGCTTAAGATGCTTCCATATCATTCAGCTAGATATGAATTAGTATTTCAGCAATTTTCTTATAAACCCAGTTATAAAACCATTGGTAATTATAAAATCACCTGTAGATGTTTGTGCTCTAGGGCTACCGTCTGAACCTTTAATTAGGTGGTCATTATCGGTCTGATGCTATAATGAAAGAGGTTTCCAATTCTAGTTGTGTGGTTGTCTACTCGTCCGTCCATAAGATTCTGATGTCATTAGTAGATAATCATCTGCAGTATCTCGTCAGTCCAACTTCCTTTTCAATCTCGACTTATCCTGTGTCGTTTAAGTTATTCTGGTTACGTATTGTCTTCATTATACTAGCTGATTCCTTTTTCACGAGAAGTCCAGAGTACTGCTTCATTAAGTCTCCTTTATAGCCTGGCAATCATGGTCTGAGCAAAATCTGTCTAGGAAAATTGGACTTGGATATGCTTTTGTCATCTCTATTTAGCCTTGTCGTTTGTTCTCAATTCCCTACATTTTGCATCTGGCACACCGTTAATGTTTCAATTAGATCCTCTGAGATTTTAATGTCCCATAAATATGTGAAAAAACTTGTTTTCTGTCTATTTTTGGCTGTTCGTGAAGTATGGCTTACTTATTTGAAGAGTTATTTGATAATTATTGTCATATAGTTATTGACTAGGCGTGGAAACGGTGTGATTACTGACTACTCATGGACAATAACAATGAACTCCCTGGTCATATTTGTTGTATCAAGTTCAACTTGTGTTGCTTGTGGTGGTTTTATAGTCCTGCTTTTTCTTTTTTTTTTTTTTTTTTTTTTTTGCAGAACTCATGACCGTTGTTGATGCTTGAATTCTTATCTCTGCGCTTAGTGAAATATTTTGTAAATTGCTTATGCTTTACTTTGTGATTGTTGTACAGTGGGGGGGAATAATGGGGAAACAGCTCCAAGAGAAGAACCACCTATGGGAAGCAATCTTCCTGTAGATGGAGCCGAGTGGGTAGACCTATTGGTTAGAGAATGCGTAAGTGCAGCAAATATCGACGATGCTAAGGTACGCTTGTCCAGAGCACTTGAGGCATTGGAGAAGTCCATTTGTGCAAATGCAACTGCAGAAGCTGCCAAAAACTTCCAAGAGGTGTGTGTTCCTTCATTTATTCGGATCATTTAATTATTTACTTCTGCCCTCCTTTTCTTGCATAGAATTGACATACGTGTTATGCTTTGTAGGAGAACATAATGCTAAAGCAGCAACTAGATGCAGTGCTGCAAGAAAATGCTATTCTGAAGAGAGCAGTTTCGATCCAACACGAGCGTCAGAAGGAATTTGAGGAAAGGGGTCAGGAGTTGCATCAGCTCAAACAGCTCGTGTCTCAATACCAGGAGCAGCTCCGAACTCTTGAGGTCAGTTTAATTAGTGAGGTTATTGATAAGATTTTGAATCATGTCGATCCACATTTTATAGTGAACTCGAGTCTGAAATACGAGACCATTTCTTTTTTGTTAATGTAATCTCCAGGTGAACAACTACGCTCTTGCAATGCACCTCAAGCAGGCACAACAAGGCGGTTCCCTTCCTGGACGTTTTCACCCCGATGTATTCTAATTAAATAATCCTTTGCATGTAATAATAATAATTAACAGGGTTTATTAGCCTACAATCGTGGCCCTCGTTTTTTTTTTTTTAATTTATTTATTCTGGCCCTAGTTCGTATGTCTCGTTTGGCTGAGTACCGTGTTATAACGCCAATCTGCTACTTTCCGATGCAAGACTTTTATAACATTTTGTTTTTGGTATTTGGACTTTTTGTGTTGCATTAGTATAACTGGATTTCGCTGATCAATGGAGAGCCACTGGCTTTGTATTTATTCTGCACTTGAGTTTTTGTGCTACTACCTTTTTTTTTCTCTTTTTTTCTGCGCTTTATCTTTTTGCTGCATCATCTTCCATTTGTAAATGGAATGTGTATTCTGAGTTTGTTTGATTTGACATTGTCTCTTGTCTTATCTATTACAATGTGGTCTTGCTTTTCTAGTGTTTTTGCTTTTAATCTTCGGAATATCCGAATAATCTTTTATTTAATCAGAAAATTATGTTCTTGTCTGTTGTCACAATTTGTATTATTATTACACTTGGCGAGTATTTTGATGCAGGTTTTTTTTTTTTTTTTGGTAATAACAGCAAGGCAACTACAATTTGAAATTAAAAAATATATGTATTAGAAAATTTTGGACCCTAGTTATGTACATGATACTGACTCGAAAATTAAACAAGTCAACCCTGGATCGTGGTGACTTATAAGTTATAAATTATAAGATAATAGGAAATAAATAAATAAAATTGGTACCACACTCTCGTGTATGCGCTCGTTAGCAATGAGATTGGAACTCAGTCAACACAAATTCACTTGCTTCAGTCGTTAGGTCACCACTTGCAGAACATAATACAATAGAATTGTTCTTACTTGGCCTGCATTTTGCACTATTTTTAATCTCCCTATTGAATCCATCACCAAACACATAACTAAACAGTAGAAACAATGTACAAAAATTAGCTTCAACCACGAAATCAAGCCATATTCAACATACTTTTTACACAGATATATACGCGCTCGATTGTACGTAAATCAACGGTAATATAACACACCAACCGAAACTGCAGAATTGAAGCTAGTCTATTGTTATAAATGTACATAATCACCAAAAATCTAACAGCAAAAGAGGGAATCTTTCTAAATCACCTGTTCTTTCATCAAAAAAAAATCAAGATTACATAAAAATTAAAAAAAAAAAACATTCTTGATCAAGAATTAAGAAACTGAAACAAGTCTAGCAAAGCCAGATTTCATCATATTCCGAAACTCATCAAAATCGACCATACCATCTCCATCAACATCGACTCGTCTAATCATCTCTTTGCAATCATCGATCCTGTTTCCCTGATTGAATCCCATTGAAGAGAGAACTAATCCAAGCTCTTCCACACTAATCAATCCATCTCTATTCTCATCGAACACGTCGAACGCTTCTCTCAAATCTCCGTCTTCATGCACCTTCACCTGCCCTTGTTCGTCGTCCTTGAACGAGTCGAAAAGAACGCAGAACTCGTCGAAATCTATGAGCCCGTCTCCATTCGAGTCCACTCTCTGCACCATATCCGCCACGTCGCTCTCCCCGGCTTCGATACCGATCTTCTCGAGGGAGTCTCTCAGCTCGTGCTTCGTTATGTAGCCGTCGTTGTTCTTGTCGAACGTCGCGAACACTCCCCGGAGATCGGCGGCGGGTTTGGGTTTGGGTTTGGTTGAGGTGGGGTTTGATTGTGTTGGAGAATCTTGTGGTGGGGTTTTGATGTTCTTGAGATATTTCTTAGTGTTGGAGAATTTGATGAAGATGAGGCTGAATATGAAGAGAAGAGAGGATAATAGTATGGTGATCATTTTTTATTTTTTTTTTGTTTTTTTGTTTTTTGAATGAATTTATGTTGATGGAGTTTGAGAAATGAGATGAGAGTTGAAAGAGAGCAATGTTTTGTTAGTGAAGTAAACGCGGTTTGATGGATCAAACCGCGTGAAACTGTCATAACGGCAGAAATTATAATATTATTTTCTTGTTTTAGTAAAAGCAAAAGATGTGGAAGTTCCCATGGTCATATAAAATTGGTATATATAGTCACTCTCACTTGTGTTTTTTTATTTTTAAATTACGGTCTAACCCCTGAGGTCAGGTTAAATTACGAAGAAAAAAAAATCTTATGTTTTGATAATTACAACCATTCTCTTATACTAGGAATCTTCTTACATGTTCATATTTATTGTGTCTAATTCAGCATAATCTTCTACATTATGTGGAATGGTATCTAGTTTGTACTTGTTTTGTGCAAAAATGCAGTTTCTGATGCACCACGGTCTGATATTTACAAGACAAGAAACATATTTTATGATCTTCTTGTTTCAAAATTTGGAGCTCGAATGGAATAAAACGGTTACAAACTGGAGAATATTGCACGTAAGAAGATTCAGAGTTGAAGGGTGGTTATAATTACCCAAACATGAGGGGTGATTTCGTAATTTAACGTCACAATTTAACCCCAAAAAGTAAATTGATATAAAAGTCTAAAAATTAATCTTAAAATTTAGAAAAATAAAATCTGTCCCCAGTACTTTTACTCAAATAAATTAAGATAATAAATTGATATTTTGTGCCCATTATTGTAGCTGACACGACCATATTGTAACATGGCAGTTTCATTGTTTTGGGATACATATAGCTGGCTAAAGATTCTCTTACAAGAAGTTTATATACTCCCTTATTATCCTCGTTTTGTCCCTGCAGGGGCATTTTGGTCATTTCACACTAACAACTATTTTTACCTCAGTAATTGCAATTTTATAATACAGTTTATATATATATATATATATATATATATATATATCCATTTTATATAAACAAAAAATATATTTGCAAACGCCAAATAGGAAGTAGTCAGCACCACACTGAATAATTCACTTTATGACAAATTCCACTTTGTCACTCATTGACTTTAGACAATTTCCATTTGAACATTTCCTAAGGTATTATGTATGTATTATGTATATATATACATTAAAATGCTCTAATTTAAATTGACACATAAAGTATTAGATATAACTAAATTATGTACACATTTAAGAATAACAATTGTTTTCACTAAATATCATACAGTCCAAAGACTTTTTTGTGTCTAATGGTTAGGTGTTGACTTTTTTGTGGACTAAGAAGGAAAAGTAGCAACAATTCCAGAGGAAAAAAACAAATCTTGCCCTTCTTATTGGGACAAGAATCTCAACAAACTTACAATATTTTATAATTTAAACAATTTGTTTTCCTTTATATGATTTTAAATAAATATTTATACTTCAGATCATTGACTTGTTAAAATTTTCCACTCAAGTTAAACTTGGAAATATAATTCTAAAAATTGTTAAAATTCAAAAAAAAAAAAAAAAAAAAAAAAGACACATAATATGTAAATGGGACGTCTAAAACAAATACCGTTTATTTCTCAGTGCAATACGACAAACATAAAAATTATAAAATAAATAGATAATGACATTAATACTCTTCATAAAATCAATACCACACAAATTTTGTGTGAGGTATTGATTTTCATTAAGGGTAATAATGTCATTACCTATTTATTATCTATTTATTTCTTTATCTTTTATGTTCGTGGTATTGAAGTAAGAAAGAAACGATATTTATTTTAGCCGTACCCTTTCTAAAGCCCTACAATTATTACATTATTAATATTCCCTTTAACCTTGGAATTTGAGCCCTCCTAACACAGATTATTGTGAAAGGTTATGTACTTGCATTAAAAAATACACTATAATACTACACAAGTGGGAGTCATTATTAATCAAAAAGGGGTTGACTGTTGACTTTAACTTAATTAAATCCAAATGGGGTGTATTGTTAATTGTGGAGTAACTATGTGGGAATGTCTACTTAATTTTGTATTGATTTCGCAAGAATCATCCATGTGTAATCTCAAACTGTCAAAAAAATCATGGAGTTCAAAAAAATTAGCAGAAATCATCCTATGAAAATTAGTTAAAGGCAATAAAACCCCTGACACCAAGCCCTTGTACAAACTAACCATTTATATGGGAAAATGTATATAAATCGATATAAAAAATGTAAGAAATAGACAATCAAGTATAACCAAAGAGAAACTTATATTCGAAATAAAAAATAAAAAATGTAAGAAATAGAAAGAACGAACAAATTAACCAAGTGGCAATGGGCCGGGCCATCCAATGCAGCCCAAATCCACTAATTGAATATGGAATCTTGACTCGGCCCAAAATATATAAAGGCTTTAAATGGGCTTTTTAATTTTCAAGACCTCAATGTGTAACCCAATAGGGCTAGCTCACAAATTTATTTATTTATTTTTATTATTTATTATTAGTATTTTTCTTTTTGTGATGCACGGGTCGACATTCCAAAAGTGAGGAAAATAGTGATTTAAAAATACGACATCGAAAATTGATATATGTTAAGAAAATAGTGATATAGTCGGGCTTGAGCCTTCCAAAACAGCCGAACTCGACTCGTTCGCAACCCTAGTTGTGATATTAGTCGACGCACGATTCCGAATGAGAAAAATGCTCTAGTGGTAGGAGAAACTTCGCTTTCAACGGAGAAGGATTAAAGAAATTGGCAGCTTTAAGTACATGTTAATTAGTGATAATTGTTGGGAACCAACCAAGCATTATACACTTTGACAGCTCTATAAAAAGTACTTTGTGGTCCCTAATTACACTTAACTTTTGCACTAATCATGTCATTTTCAACCAGATTTTTTATGATTTCAAAAAACAACAGGCCGATTTCGTATTTTAAGTTTTTGCACTATTAAACTTA